TCTCTGCCCGCTGGCTACCAAGGTCACCTAAGAAGAGCAACTGTCTAGATCAGCTGCCTGTAGCTAGCTTTTTTGTTTGTCATTACACACAAATCTTCTATGCAATTGGGGTTTGCTTCATTGAAAGACCGTCTCATGCTTTTATGTAATACTGTAAGTGATATGCCTATTATGCTTGAAAATAAATTCAGTTCAATGTTAAAAATGGCACTCTGCATCTACATTGTATTCCTGAATTTACCACATAGGCATGCTAGTAGTCGTCTCCAAGAGATTTTGCACAGGTATACAGAACTGCACCAGTACTTTTCTACTACAAAGAAAGCTGCACAAGATGGAAGAATAGACCACAGAATGAAAATAAATGTCAGAAAACTGCATTAAGATAACACTGCAAAATGAACCATTTTCAGTAAACTGACTTTTATAGACAGCTGCAGCTAAGTAGCCATTTCTGCAAAACTGCAATAACCCACCTACTTTCTGTTGATGTTGTAACACGGGACAGGCAATTAAAATGCAGATGCTTTCCCAGTCTATGATTCAACCTTGGGAGGGGTTCAGGGGGAGGCATTGCTTTAAAACAACCCTTGTATTCATCTGTAAAAATACTGCAGTGTGCCACAAGAATGACTTGAAGCACTTTTAGCAACATGTTAGATTTGTCTATGTTGAGATGGCTGCTCTCTAATACAGCAGTACTTTAAAATATATTTCCATCTGGGCTAGATTCCATCACCCATCTTCATGCTGAGCATACCTTATTCAACAATTAGTTCCACTGACTGCAACTCAACATGAATAAGAGCAATGGAATCCATCCCTCTCAGTATTAAAATACAGCTCACTAAAAATGAACAGAGCAAAGCTACTAACTGAATTATAAACTAGTGCCATGTAAAACCACTTCAAATACTACTGCTAACATTTGACCTATTTCTACAACAGTCTTCTCGTTTAAGAGTTGGTGACCTTCTGATATGTAGGTACAGCCTCTTCCACAGTTTCCAACACTTAAGACTGTCTTTTACTGTAAATGAATTCCCACATAACAAAGAATCCAATGTACAAAGAGCCCAACATTTAAATTTTTCAAAGCAAGACTTGCCTTTTCGTTGTCCCTGAAATACTGCCAGTTTCTCAGACTCTTCTCATATTCAACTTTCTAGCCAAATGTATCCACACGTTCTCAGATTTTAGGTCTTTCTCTCTCCCTTTTCCATACACATTCTGGGCCCTCTGCCTGAAAAGACAATTCTGTTAATTTTAGATAAACTCACAATCATGTATTTTCCAAGTCTCTATCCTCTGAAAAAGAAAAGATAAATTAGTTACTGTAGATAACAAGCTCTTCTTGTCCACATGCTGCTTCTCCTGAGAGGGCAGAAGATGCTTGTGAATATGATCTCAAACTTTGTTAACAATACCTGTCTATTGTGTATAGGGTGAGTCTATCCATGCTTTTCAGCATAGGAAGTACAATCTGCCTCTGTCTTCCCAGCTTCCTTTTCAATCACACCCTGGAAAAAAAGGAGATGAAGGATGAATGTGAAACAGGTGTAAGGGCAGCAAACTTACAGAAACTTTACAAATTCTCTTTCTCTCCTGCATGCTTGTTCACACACACACACTATCTGTACTTCCAAAGCAACACCCAAACCATCCAAACACACAACCTGGGGCAGCTCAGAATAGCTATAGCAGCACCAGTACCCTAAATACAGCATCCAAACTGGAAGCTCTGGAGAGACCTAATCTTTACTGACATTATGAGTTACAGCCACAGAGACTTCCAAACAGGTATTAACAACAGCATACTTCTAAATGCTTGCCATAAGCACTACCTATGGCTGCACGGAAAGGACCCCTGTTGCTGCCTACCCTCAGAGTGAGGAATTCACTGAAAGCCTCTAGGTGGAGATCGTGCTGTCCTTCATCCTCTCCACTACGGCCACGCAAAATTGACAAGACCACCTCAGGATTTGTTCTTTGCAAGGATGTTTTTTCAGGCCACAGCATACAAGGCAACATCTTTCTGGACAAACCCATCTTTGGGAATAATACTGGCTAAATATTAGGTAAAATTACCTTTTCCACAAATGAAACCAATGATCTGGAGAGAGTTTGTGTCTTGAGTGGGTCACACAGCCAGCACCAAGCCTTAATATCCCAATTTAGACGTTCAGTTGTTACAGCACACAATTATTTCTCATTTATACTTATTATGCATTACTGTATACCTAGCACAATTTTGAGTGTGAATTATTTTTACTTTTTTAAGTTCAACAAAAATTTTAAAAAATAATAATCTTTTCATTCCTTCTGGATCAAAGAACCTCTGTAATAACATTGAAGTGTTTCCACAAGTTTGCTACTCTGCCTCTCAGAAACAGCTGGGAGATACACTTCTAAATGTGTAAGGGTGGTCAAGAGCTGATCTCCTTGGGACGTATCACTTTTCAGTACTGGATATAGTGAAAGAACAAACTTGTACGGGGTCCAAAACATACACTTTTTTCTTTAAATAAAAATTTTATCTTTGGGGGATAATGACAGAATGTGACTAACAGTTCTTATCTTTGTACTCAAAGACATTTAAGTAAGTAGAAAATGAGTACTGCAAATTAGGAATTTTGCAAAAAAATCATATAACAAAAGAAGCCACCATCACAATAAGCCCTCTGAGAAGTCACAGGCACAGGGACTGGAGACTAGATCATTGATGGATGTTTTCTACCTTTTCAGATTAACAGTCAGCCCTTTGCCCACTGAAGACAGAGCTCTGCCTTAGATTTTGAATGAGTTGAAATTTCACCAACATTTATAACTGCAGAATGGATATTAATTTTAGCTCATGGTACATTAAAAATACCCATAACTATTTTAATCATGAAGTCAATGAAATCACACAGTTGAATTGCTGAAGTGCTTCCGTATTGGAAAAGGAACCAAATTTCTCATCTCAAATGATATTCCAAAACCAGAGTAAAAACTCTAGCATCCTTAAGAGACGTTACGAAAACCCATCCCATTTCTCCATGGTCCAAACTCTGCCACTGCTAGTTATCTGCTGAAGTAACAAATTGTTACTGCACAAGCAATCCAGTTGAACCCGAAACGCAATTTTATGCATCATAGCTCATGTGAAAAGAGTCATTTGCTAAAGTGATAGCGGAACGTAACTCAGGCCTCAGCTCTCCTCCAGTACATCATTACTAAACCATTACTGCATTGCTTTATTGGAGGAATCAAATACTTCCTGTGATAAATATGGTTGCATCTTGCTCAGGCACTAGATGGTCTCAGCCGCTCCAGACCTTGTCCTCCCACACAACTTCTTTTTGCTCCGAGGTGAAATAGTTTCAATAACCGTGCTCGAGTCTTGCTGAGCATTCTCCATCCTCGGTACGTATCTCTGACCTGTACCTGGGTGAGACGCGGGCAGGGACACCCTGATTCCTGAGAAAAAGGCTAACACACTTCAACGGACCCCAGACACCTCCGCTTTTCCTGCTGGGCATTTTTTTTTCCCCAGGTGCGGGCAGAGCCCCTTGGCTCCAGAGTAACGGCTCTCCTGGACGGGCCCGCTCCCTCCCTCACCTCCCTGCCCCGGAGACCCGGCAGCCCCTCGCCCTCCTGCGGGAGTCGTGTCCCTCATCCCTGCCCCAGTCCGCAGTCCCCGCTCACGGCGCGGAGCTGCGGAGGGAACCCGCGGCCCTGGGCCGCCCGGGCGGCGGAGCCCG